AGGTGGCGGGGGCAGCCGCCTGGTGCTCCAGCTGTTCCCGTTGGAGCGATGGCACCAGAGCGCCGCGCAGCTCTAGACCCTCCTGGGCCCCCCAGCCCCTTATTTTCTATGAAGTTGCAGCTTTTGCCCGGCGAGGGGTTTATTCTGTGATTACAGGAGTCTCTCCTGATTTAGAAAAGATTATTTTATTTACCTATTTTTCTTTGAGTTACACACAAGTAGCAGATTTGGGGGGTAGGGGGACCTTAGTTTTCATCCTGCAGCTGTCTTAGGTCTCCATCTTCTGCATAGACTCCTTAACACTGCCAGCTGACTTGCTGAGGTTGGTTAAGTTTGTATTTAAAAGACAAACTGAATGAAAATGGCACGCAACTGAGTTGAATTTATCGCATTTTGATGTTTTCTTCTTTAGAACAAACGTATTCTATGAGAGTGCCTTGTATGAAGCCCACGCTTAGAGAGGGACACATGGATAATATATCCTATATGTACACCCCCGGGAAATTTCCACACAATCCAAATTTTGAACTTAAGGCTCTTATTTTCTGGGTGAGGAACTTAGTGCTTGGAAGTATGAGGTGCAGCTGTGGGAAGTAAGAGAGTTAAGGAAGATTTGCCTTGGAAATCAGGGCCATTCTTTGGGATGGAAACCACCATTGATTCCAATCATAGCTTAAAAAAGAGCAAGAGTGAGAGAGAGAGAGAGAGAGAGAGAGAGAGAGACCAGTAGGAGTTGTCCTCCAAAGGGGCTGGAATTCAAACAATCTACCATAACCATTCTTCCTCACTTACCCTTCCTGCGTTTCCAGATTACTTTCCCATTTCATTTTAAATTGGGGGTGGAGGAAGAGGAGAGAGGTGAAGTAACCAGGAAATGAGTGTGCACTGGCCCTTTAAAACACTGCCTAATGTGATCTATATGGATGGCAGCTTTTAAGTTTCATAGGTTCTAGAATTACAAATTAGCTAATTTTAATCAAAACATGTGAAATGTTATCCCGGCTGGATATAAAGGCTGACTGTGCTCGATGCTTGGGGCTCGCGTTGTTGACTTTGGCTGCGGGTGCACTCCGTGGTTTGGGAGATAGTTGTCCTTCTACAGTATAACAGATGTTTGTCTGAACTGGTGAGGAAGAAACAAAAACAACATTGTGTGAAGGGAAAAATTACACAGTTTTTAGCCAATGCTGCAGGACTAAGTATGGAATTAACCTCCGTGCACAGAATTTCCTTTTTGAAAATGTTATTTTTCTTTTAAATCACCACCTCCTATTTGAAGTTTTAATCATTATTGTTTCAACCCATAGTAGCAGTAAATGAAAAGTTCCACCCAGCAAATAGTTCAGTTGCCTGTAGCATGGTGTTTTCTCTCTGGTTTGGAACAATGTGTCTGTCAGAGACCCCTGGCCGAAATCTTCAGTCTTGTCAAAGCACACCATGCCAGGGAGTCATGAAATCCCATTCCTAGTGGAATTGTTCAGTAGGCATTCCTCTAATATAATAGCACTAAAAGTCCTCATTTTAAAAGTGATTTTTCAAAGACAAAAGGTGAAAGGGTTATTTCGAACTCATTAAAAATTTTCCGTTTTTTAAGAGTAATAACCACATCAATAAAACCCATCCCCAAACGTCATGGTATTATTACCCCTCCATCTGAAGTGTAGAGTAACATAACAAGTTGGTTGCCCTGCATAAAAATATGTGCAACAAAATGTCACCGAGAACACAATGTGGCCTTGTGCAGCTTCATATCGGTGCCGCTGGAGCTGCCTGGCTGTGTTTGCCTTCATCTGAACGGCTTTCATCTGGACCAGTGTAAACTAAGCCCTGGTAAGTAATCACTGCCCGGCAGAAAGAAAGGAATGTATACAGCTAGCACGGCCTAAGCTGTAAAAACGGAAACTTGAGCCCCCACCAGGATCACATATCAAGGCTTGAAGGTAGGGGAAATGAAAGGGGGAAAGAGGAGAGAGCGAATGGAAAAGTCAGCCTGGGAAGTGGAGGATCAGGAGGAGGCCCCCCTTAGGGAGATTTGGCTCAGGGATTAGGGAATTTTATCATGGTGTACAGTGACCTACTCAGGTTTCAACACTGGTTGGATCAAGTTGCCTCTCTGCAAGCTGAAAGAAAAAGGACTGGAGTGTATGTGATTTTTTTTTCCCCTTCGGGTAATAGAAAGGACATTGGTACAAGTGTCTATTTTAAGTACAGCCAATGCAGGGCACCAAGAACGAGCAACAAAATTACCTCCTCATAGAGACTTCCTTCAAGGTTTCCTCATTGAGATAGTCACAAATTTATTTGAAAACGGCCGGAGAAGAAAAACTGGCTGAGGTTTAGCTGACACCAGTAATGGCATTGGAGATTGTCTTCATGTGGCTGGGAGCTAATATTGGTTGCTGTTTCACTAGATCAGATATTGAGTTACATATTCCTTATCACTGATTTAATGTACATGGCAGTTGTCACAAATTTAAATTTGATACAATATAATTTTGTGTACGAGAAGTACATGACTTGGCATAGCTAGCTTATAGTGTAACTTTAGTGACAATATCTTCAAGCAGAAATGTTTGTCTCATTATGACCTTTGCAATGACTCTTTATCTTTCCTTTTCTTCTTCCTCCTTTCATCCTGGGTTTTTTAATTGATTAAAAAGACTCATTACTGTACGTGCAATTAGTATGCCTTATTTAATTAGTGGCCAACAAAGGAAATTTGAAAAAAATGTGATCTATATTTTGACTACTTTGGGTTTCAAAATTGAATATTGTGATTGTATCTAATGTAATATGTCTTCGTTATACTGTCAACTCATGAGTATCATAATAAATGCATGTTAGGAGGGAATTCTGACATATGGAAGGGTTAACTTGTTTTAGGAGTTCATCCAGAGCATGGTCGTTGTAATATAAAAACTAGTTTGTTACTATTGGATGTGTAAATGTATATAGATGTGTAAGTGTAAATAGAGTTCACTTAAAGGTATGTATTTTGTGCACATAGATCTTAGGGAACATAATCAGTGGTTATCAAACAGTAATGCAACTGGAAAATCTATACTATGAGTAAAGATACTGAGTTGGATTTTTACCTTTTAAAACTCTTTGGCAAAACAACATGATTAGATCAAGCACTCTGCCCTGGGAACTTTCCTAAACAAACCATAATTAATGCATTTACAATGTTTGGCTACTTTATCAATTGCTAAACTACAAGATAATCTGTGTTAAATGTCTAGGGTCTTCTTTTTTGCTGAAGAAGTTTTCTGTCTATAAATATTCTCAGTAAGTAATTTGTACCTAAAATTATGCGTCAGTCCTGATGCCTACAGTTAGAGTCAGTCACATCTGTTAGAGTTTAGTAGTAAACTCACCACAAGATTTTCTAGTTTGGTTTCTGATGGTCTCCATTTGGCATTAAAAATGAACTGTGTCAATTGTGTAGATGATAAAACAAGTTGCAGAGCTGAGCTGGTGAGTGTAGTGAGGTAAATAGCTTGGCTTTATAAAAAAAGGGCGGGGGGGGGGGAGAAATCAGAGTATGGATTAGAAAAGTTAGCATGGGTTGAAATCAGTTCACTGCTAAAACATGTATATTTTAAGTTTTGCTGTTGAAACGCCATCCTGGTGTCAGACCCGGTAAGTCTCAGGAACCTAGAAAGTGGGCTCAGGACCAGATCACACTGGGGCATTCACAAATGATGTCATACCTCTCCGCCTCAGGTGTACCACGTGGCAGGACTGGGGACTAATGTCAGTCGAAACATTCGTCCCAGTCCTTGCCCCTTGGGAGCTGGAATAGGGTGTTCCTGAGCCCACCAGCCCTGTTCTCTGCATTGCTTTCAGTCTTCTAGCTCAATGCTCCAGTCCTAAGCCCATGAGAGATGGTCCCAGAAGGGCATGAGAGCTGTGAATTCTGCTCTGTTTAACTGGAGGTTTTCTGAAGAGTCTCCATCTGTGAACTTGTGAGTATGATGTGTGGTGAGAGAGATTCTCCAAGCCTTATACAACTCGCAGGTTCCAGAGACGAGGAAATGGAAAGGAACCACTCCACTTCCTCCCAAATCTGAAATAAACATTTGAACTAGAAGAAAATGAGTCTGACAGACTCATTCCCTTCTGCGTTTCCTGCCTCTGTGCCTGCCAAGCACCGCTCTGAGAA